CATGCTAGGAACTTCCACTCTCACTGTCGGTTGCCTCATGCACACAAATTATACACAACACAGGGTCAAATAGACTGTCGAATAAAAGACTCTACCTTAGGACCACACCAAATGAAGAATATGAAATAAGTCCAAATCAATCATTCTAGGGCTATATGATCTTAACCGTGTATAATTTTTAAAGCATACACTTAGCAATTACAGATACCAATAGATATTCCTTATATAGATAACATCAAATGCTTCCTAGGTACAAGGCACATATCAAGCCAATCTATCATGCAATTCCTGAAAGTATCCCTAGCCTTATCCTAGCATGCAATTCTCATAACATATAATCATAACAAACATGTATGGGTATTCTGGGAATCACTTACTTGAGATCGGCCGATTGCACCCATCACACCCCCTTTGACTTTATAAAATCCTTTTACGAATTTCCTTTTTACCAAATCTTTTTAGATACTCATTTTCTTTCAAAAGATTATCAATTCCTTAGTTTGAGTTCAAACATACCCGCGAGTGTGCCTGAATCCCTCAAACCAAGGCTCTGATACCAACTTGTAACATCCCAAAAATTGTAAGGTAAAAATTTCATTTTTAATACAATCAAAACACCAATTATCTTTTATTCAAACATTTAAAAGTATTTCATAATAAAACGGTCACCAGAGTACGATCCCAAAATCATCACAATGCGGGAACATGGGTGGATGTGTTGCGATCAGGCCAGACCCTTTCCTTTCAAACTGGTAGTACCTGAAACATAAACTGAAAAAACTGTAAGCATAAAGCTTTGTGAGTTCCCCTAAAATACCACATACTAAACAAACGTACTACCAAGCATATCTAGGTGCTTGCCTACCCCCTTCGGTCTATTTCAAACGGATACTATCAAGCATATCTGGGTGCTTGCCTACTTCTTCGGTCTATTTCAACCGAATACTACCAAGCATATCTGGGTGCTTGCATTCCCATTCGGTCTATCTCAACCGGATACCGGGTCTATTTCACCCCTACTACTACCACATAATATCATAACAAGAATCACATAGTCATCAAGCAAATACAGGCATAACTGACAATTGTCACAAAGACAATCATCACACTACATCATAAACTAGTGGGTCGGCATTGGTGCCTTCAACCCATGGATACTGCAAAGGAAGACTCGCCTCAAACCGTTGATAACCAACTAACTGCTCGGGTCGTTGAACCGGATAACCTCGTACGAACTAATAATAAATAAAACATTAATTAATAATTAACCTGATAACTCAAAATCTAAGGCCCGCTCCATAATCCAACTTCCTAAAGGGTAAAATACCATTTTAACCTTTCCTTACTTGGCCCAAAACCAAGGCCCAACCCATTTGCTCAAAAGCCCAAATTCCTAAATGGCATCCCAAGGCCCAAGATGACCCATCGTTGTCCTTTCCGACGAAGCCACCTATTGACGAGATGCAACTGTCGATGCAAGATAGTCGCGAAAAAGGAACCGCTGGCAGCCACGCGCCACCGTCAGACGACGAAGCTCCTGCTAGATTTTCGACAAATTTTCCTAAGAGGTCCAAACAGCATAAAAACTAGGTTTTCCTAATCCTATTATGACGATCTATAAATAAGTGTGCTCGGATTTCCAAAAATTTTGTCGTTCAAAAGACGAGAAATGCAGAACGACACATGATTCTCAAAACAAACACTTTTAACGCGTCAAGGTGTTGGGTTTTTATTCAAAATATAGTTTCAAAAACACAAGATTTAGGTAATGGAATACTTAGAAATTTGAATAACATAAAACAAGTTTATACCGACCAAGGATCATCTTGCAAGTTGTAGAAAGATTTAAACACCAACCAAATAAGAGATGAAGAAATGACAACATTTGCAGTTCTTTGGGTCTGCTTGGGAGGCTTGGAAGTTAATGAAGAATGGTGAACTTAAGAGACAACAACAATGACTCAACTTGATGTAGAATGCTAGTTCTTTTGTATAAAACTCTTATATGAATGTACACTAAATTTGTTATGATTCATGTTTTATAAATGAAAATTTTTGTGTGTACTTTGTATTAAAAATCAAGGCTTTACATAACACAAACACATCTAACTTCACTACTCTCTCGTCATGTATTACAATTGGGTTAAACAAAAACTTGAGAAAAATACATTTAACTTCATTACTCTCTCATCATGTATTAAAATTGGGTTAAACATAAAACTTGAGAAAAATACAAAGTTTGAAATTACTTATATAACTATTTGCAAGGTTGTAGAACTCGTTACTCGGTACCTGCTCGGCCGACTACCGAGTAGCGAGTACTCGGGAGTACTCGGGGAGTACTCGGATTCGGTAATTCATGTAGAAATATTTTTAGGGACATTATATATGTCAAAATCATAAGTTGATTGAAATATATAACAAAATTAGATACATGTGAATACACAAAAACTGAAAAACACATAATGGTCTTACTTCGTGAATAACTACTGAAAATTTAAGATATATATATATATATATATATATATATATATATATAGCTAGGTTCAGGTATTTAAACTAATTATTGTACATCTATCGTATGCTATGAGAATGATAAATAAAATATGTTGTTTGATAATATAAATACATTCAATCTTACATAACTATTGTAATTAACACACATTCTCACTAATTAAATCGTCTATAAAGGTTATTATACACTTATTATTATTATTCTCATTTCTGTCAGAATGTTTTATTGGGTCGTATTCTGTCAGAATGAAAATGAGTGAAAACCGATGTGTGAGAACAAAAAAAAAAAATTAACGAGAATACATGAAATTGACGATATTCTTGTAAGGTTGAACGTATTCGCATTGCTAAACAACTTATTCTCTTAGTAATTCTCATAGCATACGATAGATGTACAATAATTAGTTTGAATAGAATAAGCTATATCATACTATCTATATAACTATTATATAGATATATATATAGTAGATATATATATATATATATATATATAGTAGTAATAATCACATGTGTGTGTTAAATAATAAATCTTTAATTATATTATACATATTAATCACCGAGTTGACTGGGTTTTACAACATTGCTCAGTTCAGTAAAGGTGGTCGGGGAGTACTCGGGATTTTGCAACTCGCCTCGGTAAGGGGTCGAGTAGCGAGTACTCGGAGCAGTAAACAACTCGGTGAGTTTTACAACACTGACTATTGGTTAGTAGTGTCAAAAAACATTTGTATCCGAAAATCTAAAAAGTCGATGCAAAATCATATGAATTTCAAATATTCGATTTTTTGGGTTCAGATTCGGATATTTTTCGAATATTTCACATATCCGATATCAGAAATATTTATCTTTAAAAAAAAATTGTTTTAAAAAATATACTATCGGGAGTGTTATGAGCTATGGATGTAGTTTAGTGACTTAATATACGCATTTTCATTTAGTTTTTTAAGGCGGAGATTATGCCAACACGTAAGTTTGTATTTCATCTAATTGATTAACAAGTGAGATAAAAAGTAAAACAATATTGGTTTATAGTGTATAATGTCTAAACAAAAGAAAATAAAATAAGACTTTTTAATAGTTTAGGGTGCGGGGCGTGGCGGGGAAAAATGGGCCGTTTCCGGGGGGAAAAAAGGGGCCAAGAAAAATGAAAAGTGGGGAAAAACGCGGGGAGGCGCGAGGGGGCGAAACAGGGGCACGGAAAAGGAAAAGGCGCCCGGGGCGAAAAGGACAAAGAAGGGGGAAAGGGGGGGAAAACAAGGAAGCAGGGGGGCCACAGGGGGCGAAGGCCGAAAGGGCGAAAAGAAAAACACACACCCAGGCCCACCGCGACCGACCCCCACCGAACACCCCCAACCCACCACACCCCGACCGACCAAACACCCACCCACGCCCATAGCCCCCCCCCACACACACACACACCTACCCCCACAAACACACACCTACCCAAACCTCCACCTACACCCCCCACAAACACACACACACACCCACACCTACACCCCCCCCCCCCCCCCCCACACACACACACAACCACACCCACCCCCACAAACACACATACACACATATACTCACACCCACAAACATCCCCCCCATACACACACAAATACACCCACCCACCCAACACCACTACCACAATCACCGACCTACCATCACCATCATCACCACCACTACCCTATCACCACCTCTACAACAATTATCGCCGCCACCACCGCCTGTCATCACCACCAGCGCGCGCCACCACCACCACCACCATCGCCATCATCGACCCCCCCACCCACACCCTACCATCGTTACCGTTTTCTAAAAATGAAAACCGATAGAAATATACACATCTAAACGCGTTCTCTAATTTTATAAAACTGAAAATGAAAGATGAATAAGTTTTAACTAAACGCATTTTCTAAATTTTCCAATGAAAACTGAAAACGAAAAACAAAAACTGAAAAGGGAAAACGAAAAACGAAAAATGAAAACTGTTTTTCCGTAACTACACGCAACCTTAGTATTTTCAGTTCTGCCGTTCAAAAAAAAAGCCTTAGTATTTTCAGATATTTAAAATCTGCATCCGAAAATTCAAAAAGGAATTTGAATATCAATATCCACTGTCCGAAATTTTGAATACCTATTTATGTTTATTTAAATTATTATTAGCATTATCTTAAAATTATTGTCCAAAATAACATTATGCAAATATACATTGTTGTCATATGTAATTTGATTTATTATTTAATTTTATGATTTATTTAAATCTTACTAATCATATAAATAGTAAAATTTTATATAGAAGGATAAGACTAATAAGTACTGCCGTCAAATCCGAGATGTCCCGAACGTACGACCAGTCTACAAGAACGGGGGGATATGCGGCTTTCAACGACGAGGTGCCCTTCTTTAAAGTAAATAAAAGAAAGGAATCGAAGAATTGAAGTGGCCATATCGGAACTGAAAAATTAGGTTTGGAGCTAGAGCGTAGAGGGGTACGAATCACGATGGGGCGGAGAAAGTTGGAGATGAAGCGAATCGAAGACAAGAATAGCAGACAAGTAACGTTTTCAAAGCGGAGATCAGGGTTGAACAAGAAAGCACGGCAGCTTTCCATTCTCTGCGATGTCGACGTCGCCGTCGTCGTCTTCTCCTCCAGTGGCAAGCTCTATGAACACTGCAGCGGCGGTACAAACAGGTCAGCCATCGTTTTGTATTATATTCAAATATGATATGTATTTGTCGTTACCCTTTAATTTAGTTTGTGCTCTATACTGCTTCATGTACGAAACAATAAGCTTTAGTAAGATAACTGCGCTGCAATCGATCGGAGTGAAGATTTCTAGGGCATAATTATATATTCAATTATGTAGCAGAGATATACTAATTGATGGCCTCATAATTTATCCTGTCTTATGTAAAATCTCAAATATGTGAAGAGTTTGGATAATTGAGATCTATCTCTAGTCGGTTTCAGTCATGATGCTTTTTTTGCATCGGACATGTGGACTGAAATCGTCAGTGGTAAAGTTGACTTGATATAGCGGCGATCGATATTTGCATACAGTTTTGGAATTTCTTCTGTTTTGAAACCAAGCTATGGATTATTTTTTCATATGTTCACTTGATAGTTATTGCACCTGTTCAATATGTGCACAAGTAATTATTTCCTGGTTCATTGTTTAGGAATGTTTTTTGTTAGAAGTATTAATTAATAGAACATATTTATGAATTAGTTTAATATATATGAACTTTGATAAAGGTTTTCTTTATCATGCAAGTTAACACGACTTGGTGTTCTGGGATGTAAAATTATTGATAAAAAGAATTATAACTACTAGTTAAATGAGACCTGGAAGGCTGGAAGTGGGATTATGTTTTTGCCCTAGCATAAGTTTGATACAAACTTACAATATTCATTATAACCTTAATTTATGTTTGTTTTATTTTTTCTTTTTTATTTTATTTTAACGTCAAATCTAACCTACTCCTACTAAACTATTCATAATACCACCTATGTCCCAGACGGGACTTAAACCCTCAACTTCAAGGAGGAAGGACAACACATGATATCGCTAAGCTAGAAGTCATTTAATGCATAAGGTTCTACTAGGCAAAGTTGAACTAGAAAATATTGTTATTGTCATAGGATTAGATTGGAAGACATAGTTATCCATCCTAGTTATGAGATATTCATTCTTGTAATTTCTTTTGTTTCTAGAAAATTTTAATCTATAATTATTTAAGTATTCTATTTTGTAAATTTCTATTGCTTAATATTATACAAGTGGTATGAGCATTAGATATATCAAATTTAATTATTATAAGTAAGTAGTTGCTAATTGTACACTAACTGATTATGTATGATTAATTTATAATCTGTTCAAATATTAATACCTAGCCATGTAGGTTACGGTTCATTGCTTTCTAATACTTTATGTGACAACCCAACTATTAAAATTATGAAAATGACCATTTTTTTCTTTATCTTAACTCTTTCATCTTCATGCTTAACGAGCATATAATTAAACCCTAATCAAATTCATTTTTTCTCCTAGAGATCCCTAACCAAGTTCAATTATCCCATAAGTCAAACCTAAAATTAGAACAAAACGAAATCAACGTCGAAACTTTAATACCAAAAACAAAATCAAAATTATTTCATGATACTCTTTTCGGAAGTCTTCGAAAATTTCCGATTTTTTTCAATCTATTTAAGGAAGTATACGTTTGTTCTATACCTTGTATATTTTTTAATATAACTATGCAATTATAAAATTATTTTGACATGGTTTCGGACGTACGCATGAACGTTTTCAAATTTATCAAAACAAACGAGTGATTTCCAAATTTATCAACTGAGAGATTATCAAATGATATGTAGAGCATTCCATTTTGTATGTATGAGTAGTCACATCTTTACGGAAGACGATTATAGGTAGGATGAGACGATCTCTTACTGAAAGACAATACCTTTTAACTCTTGTTGTTGGTGGAAGTCCGTTGCTTTATTTATCTTGTTTTGACGATCTCTTACTGAAAGACAATACCTTTTAACATAGTCCTCGTCAAAATTGTAAATGGTAAACAAGTGTGCTTTCGGTTTCTACCATATCACCTTATATTGAATATTCAAATGTCATCAATATCATTGATAATGAATAATTATGTTCTATATCAAAATCATAAAATGCGAAAAGTATGTTGTTATCCATATTGAGAAAGTCAGTCAACATCATCAACCAATTAATCTTAAGTAGGTCACAACCAAAATGTGGACTATGTAATGTAAATCATCACCACAAACACTTCCTTTAAATCAAGAAGCTTAACGAACTTGTACTGATGAACCTATGCTAAAATATAACTAACCTCGAATCGTATGCTCAAAATTACTTAACATTTATTCTACCTTATGTTTTGAAAATGTTCATTTTAATTTTGTTCGTGTCTTCTAGTCTTGCTTACCATTGTAGATTCGTTTTTCTTCACTTAAAGGCCATATACAAACCCGTCCTTAACCCTCTCGAAGGTTGATAGTTAGTACGATAGTTTGTTTTAGTGGTAATCTGTGCGGCTTTTGGAATAGTGAAACAAAATCAACTAGTAGATCGTTGAGTTGGTTTTGTTGTGAGGGTTTCAGAGCAAAATAGGACTAGTATGCTTAGAGATGGAAACGGGGTCGGGGAAACTGGGACCCCAATCCCCATCCCCATCCTCGAATCATCATTCTAATCCTCATCCCCATTGGGGAATATAAATGAATCCCCGTCCCCAACCCAATGCGGACCGGGGATCCCCAACGGAGAATCAAGGATTTTTTTTTTCTATTTTAATATGAAAATTTTATGTAAAGAAAAACTATAAATTTCAATTTTAGCAACATAAGTTTAAAGACTATTACAAAACAAAAAAATATCATAGATTGCATAAAACCTATAAACAAATTTGCTACCAAATTTAAATACATACATGGAAAATCAAGCGGAAAAAAGTTATCAGAGTGATATTTGAGGTAACAATAGATAAACCAAGGAGAAAAAGTTAAAACACGAGGTTAATTAGATAAACGAAGAAGAAAAAGTATAATTTCAACTATGTAATTACTAATGAGTGGGTTACTTCAATCAAATTTTAGGTATTGTAAATTTTACTATAAATATATGATTTGTATATATATATATATATATATATATATATATATATATATATATTACTAATGAGTGGGTTACTCTGTTCGTCTATGTTGCCTAAGCATATACCCAAGGGCTTAATAGTGTTGCTCTCTAGATAGAGGGCATTGGCTACTTTTCTTGAGAGGAAATTGTATGTAGCATCACTGTCTACAAGATTAAGGTTGGGAACCGTTTAATTTCCTAGTTAGCTTGAGGTGTTTTAGACTATCATGAGAATTTCGTGAAACCCCACTAAATTCTAGGGCTTGACATTTGCCATCGCCCTTTGCAATTTCTTGGGATTCAACACAAAATACTTCTCCTTCCTAGTTTATTTCTTTACCGTCTACCATACTTGAAATGTAGCCATCGACATTGATGATCTTCCGTTTTGTGAGATGACAATTGATGGAATTTGTCGGTTTGGTGGATTGTGTCGGGCTATTATAGTGAATATCTAATTGGGCCAGTAATGGGTTATTAGAGTATGAGATTCGATGTATATAGACCGGATATGATTCAAGATTTTTCATTTTGGTTATTTCCCTTCCACTCGATGAATGAAATTACTCGACCCAAAATTTGAAATTGGATGTCCCTTATGATCTGATTTTCTCTCGGCTGAGGTTGCATAGTCCATAGTTTTGTCAAAGGAATATAGGGTCAATGCTTCAACCAAATTTTGTACCTTAGTTTTTAATCCCTTCAATGATTTGGGATTAATGCAAAGAGTGCTTCAAATTCCTTTATGTATTCTTTAATATCACATTCATGGAATATGGAGCCTAATGCGTCATTAGCGTTCTTGAACTTTGTCATATTATGATATGATTTCTCCCCCGTTAAGGTTGCATAGTTGTGTAAATGACGCGTTAGGCTCCTTATTCCATGGTTGGATGAGTTTCTCGTACCTTAGTTTTTAATCCCTTCAATGACGTGTTAGGCTCCATATTCCATGAAAAGTAGACAACATTTGCAATAATGTCTTTTAGCATTACGAAACTTGGTCCCACCAAAAATATTTTGGACATTAGGTCTACAAAGGGGGTTACAGCTAATATCAACAATCATAGTGAATCATATTACATTTACAAATGTCTAAGTATAAAATACGTAATTGTCTAATTAAGCTTCACTCTTTCAAACTTCCAAAGGTCCATCTTCAACTGAGCATCAAAAAGTCCACCTCTTAGGAATACATTTTTCAAATCTTAAGTACTTGAAGACGGAATACATGGCGATTTAAAAACAACTACATGGGTTTTACACACATGTATCTTCATCAAAACATAATGAGAAATCTTACTTTTAATAATAAAATGAAAATATTGACTTGCTATCCAGTGAAATGTCTAATGCAATGCATGACCACAAGCCAATTGCAATATTGGGTAATTAATATCTGAACGCCGCCAGGCCTTCCCGACTTCATTAGTTTTATTTATTTCCACTCGGTTATGTACCAACTCTTATTCAACTCGGCTATGTATAGATTCTATTTTTATACATAAAGTCTAATCACAATTTTGATACTTTATGTCTACTCATCACTAATAAAAAGATGAGATCAATCTATCATTGATATCATATTATAGACATATACCTCATGAAGGGTGGTACAACCCCGGTAGAATCTTCAAGGTCCCTTCTTGGAAAATCATATGTCTACACCAAAATATCAAGCTAAATGCAATCTATTGTATGCATAAGCACATCTGTTCTTTTATGTAAATTTCAATCACACAACATGTGATGCCATGAATAAAGTTATTATCATAAGAGTTTTCATAACATAAGAAACATTCATAAAATCTCAATCTAATAATGGAAGACATGATCTACAAATAACATAAGAATAATCTAAAACATATTCAAACTTCTACCTATAATAGTCAAGTGTAGCAACAAATTATACTTTCATCAAACACAATTCAAGAGTATCAAAATATTTTCTTTTTATATGCTACTATTCAAGAGTATCAAAATACTTTTCTTATATCAAATATCATTGAAGATTATCAAA